TTAGAAAATTTTTCAATCATTTAAATGCAAATCAAAGATACAAAATGTAAGACAAACATAATTTACAAAACTACCTGTAATTTGGAGGTTTTTTACGAAATCTAATGTTTTCTTAACCCACAAATGGCTTGAACAATACATCAATGCAGCTATGCACATTTCAGCCACCTAAATAGATAAATGAGATCTGACATGCCTATCCAAAATCAAGATTTAACATAATTAAGAATGCAGTAGTGTGAAGCAGATGGAGTCAATATAACTATTTATAATGATAGTAAAAAAAATCGCAATAATTAAAAAATGCTTAAAATGCCTACCCAATTCTGGTCCGAAACATGCGTCATCCAATCAAGAAACATGTCTAATTCATGTGTTTCGAGGTCAGTTTGACACATCATTCCTGTATCCACGAAATGTTCAATACGGGCTATATAAATTTTCTGCAATTAACTCACTTTTATCGCAATTGTATATTTACATTCACTGTTTCACCTTACCAATCAACTATCTACGCGCAAAGTGAATATCAAGTGCACACCTCCATGCTCAAATTGAACATCTGAGCAAATTCTTTAGCTTCAACCCATCGCTGCTGATATATTAAATGATCTAAACGCATTTCCGGCTGGCATTCATAAACTGCATGGATCTTGACTGCATTTAGTTCACTAAAATCCTATGTTTAAAGACGCATATAAAAACAAAATTTGTCGCGTCCAAATCTATTAAAACAAATGACTGCAGATTCATTTTACTGCAGGGTAGTTGTCAAATCAAAGTAATATCCCACTATCTCTTGCTGAAAAAAATTATTTTTTACTAAAGAGAGGAAGCATTAAAGAAAGTGGAGATATATCCATAAAATGGTTGATGCCAGCTTTGATAATATAACTGAAATAATGTGCTAGGAAACAATTAGGCGTTTATCGTCTGAAAGTCAGCTGTGACTCACCTGGTTTCATACGCGAAAAGCTGTATAAAAAGTACCAATCCCTCTTCGCGCGTAACTTTGCTCAATAACAGTGTCGCACTGTTCACTACTTTCGTATAAATTACATCACAAGTCCGGAAATTGCGAATTTGAAGCTAAAATCAAATTAAGTAGATCCAATTTCTGCACAAGTATAAAGAAATCTATAGATCTAAAAAGCTATAACTTGCCTGGCACGCTCCTTCCTGATTGACAAAAAGAAGTACCAGCTTGGTGTTTTCATTGATTTTGCCTTCCCGATCTAGAACATCATCAAAAAGCATGAAATCTTTAGCAACTTCACCAGTTTTTAAAAGAACAATTGATGAAATCAGCAGAGTTGTTACGGCGTCCCAAATTAACAACTGTCCGTTTGTTGTCAAAGCCATGATAAATTTGATAACTCGAGATGTATGCTTGTCACGATGTGTAAGATGCCGAATTCGTACGATGCCCGAAACGTCTAAAATTAGAGAATCAAAGTATTAATAAAGTTCATTATAAATATGATTTCAACAAAGGATTAACAACTACAGACAGAATGTCGGGTTTGCACTTTAAGAAGAAATCAATTTTGTTTCATTAAAATACAAATTGTCTCTACATTATTCTTTTAGTAACGGTAAAATATAAAAAGCCTTTTTTGCAGGAAGGATATATCTTAATTAGAGGGCTCACCAGATGAATAAAATTCGTCTAGATCTTTGTTCAAAATTTCTGCCGATAAATCAAGTAATGCTATTCTCGCATTCTGCTTCGATGACAACTGAATGATGAATGATTTATCATAAAATTATATATTCTGAACAAAAGATACCTGCCAATTTAAAAGTGAATTTCTTGCATTGTGGGAACTTTAAAATGGACAGTAACATGATTTAGGAAAGATTATAAATTCTTGTATTATGTTACTATTATGATTGATATTCGCATTATGATTGTTATGATTATTAATTATTAAAGATAATTATTGCTCGATAAAAATTGATTTTTTTTTCACTTTTTTAGCTTGAAATACAATGGAAATTTTCTCTCTTCGTCTTTCTTGAAAATTGCTAAAGTGCAATATATAAGATAAGGCACAAAGTATTTAAAAGACAAATTTTTTTTTTAAAAAAAAAAAAGGAACTTTAAAATTTATGTTCGATATTTCTGATTTTGTGAAATTAACATTCAGTTTTATAGAAGCGAAAATTTTACAAGCAAAAGAGTATTAAAATGACTAATGATTGCAGAATCTCTGCTAGCGTAATGTGTGTCAAACTGTTCCCAAACCATGTTTTCCATGCCCTAAAATTATGATAAAAAATCATTATCTAATAAAAAAAATTTGATAAGCAAATATCGCAATACTAATCTTCCAATCAAATATGAATGCAACAAATCGGACGTTTAAAAATAATGGCATTTGAAACTGATGCCTTGTTATATTCATAAAATTAAGAACCTTTTGTCTGTTCGATATTTCGATTTCGACTTCCTGTTCTGGATGAAAATATTCTGAATAATTCGGGAAAAAAAATGAATAAATTTCACCACTTTCTAAAATAATATACATCCGCGCATGTTCAAGATGCAGATCGCAGTTTATAGTTGCACCTTGTATCCGTTTATTTTCCACCAACTTCTGAATGAAAAGGTGATTTAAAAAAGACGTTTGAGAAAGAATCAATTCTTTAAATCAATTCTTGAAAAAATGAGATTCAATTCAACTGAATATGGTATGTTCTCGATGAAAATATTTTAAGTAATTCAGGAAAAAATGAATAAATTTGCCTTTTACAAAAAAAAAACAAAAACAAAAACAAAAACGCAGAAAGTCATGCATTTTGCAACAAAAAAATTCAAGAAGATGACTACCACTCGATGTATTATACAGTTGGAACCAATACTAAGAAATAACACATTCCCGCAATTTGTCAGAATTACTATTAAATTGACTACAGGCATGAATTTCATAGCAACTGGATTGATATTTTCTGAAATATTGCTTAATTACATAGTTGAATGCAATCCAATACAATAAGAGAAATGCAATAATGAAAGAGCTCACATTGATCACATTAAATTTTCTGGATGCAAGCTAGAAGTGTTGAATGTGATCAGGACATCTGTAGATGAGAAACCTTAATTCTATGTGATGCTAATTCCATCTGTACGACCATTACCGTTCTAAGCAATTTAAACTTCCTAAGCTGGTTTACTGAATTGTCTTACCTCCGAGATGCACTGTGACGATGAATCTTGCACCACAATGAAAACTAAATATTGAAATATCCTCGCCTATTGCAACCGCCAATAAATCACCATCAGCATTCATATCGCTTAACACAATTCTTTCTTTCCGCTCTATCTCACGTTCGTCGTTTTTGCTTTCTAACCTTTCATAACTGCCACTTTCACTTTGCATAGACTCCATATATGATTCATCATCATCTGAATATGTGTGAGTTGATTAGATAAATCTCTGAATATTTGTAATCAGACTTTTCCTTATTACTTGCCCAACTTCGCAATTTTCTTACCCTAATTTGAACAACTCATCTCATCCTTCACAAAATACTATTCCTAAGACAAAAGACATTTTAATGAATTTTACCTTCCTGCATCTTAAAGAAAATACTACCGAAAATTGATGCAATTATATTCGACTCGTATAAACTGCGACATTTTTGTTTAGAAAACGTCAAATTTGTTGTTTCATTACCATCGGTGGGTGTTGTTATGCTGATAAAGCGAGTACCCACAACAGTTAACATATTCGAAATATGCCAGATATCTAGTAGTATTAATTGATTACATAAACATTCGTTGAATTCTACTGCTTTCAAGTTTTGTTTAAAAATGTGTTCCAAGTATTGGAAGATAAAAGCTTTCAAGCATCACTACAACTGCATAAAGCACACACTTCTATATTTCTATATTTTGAAATATTTTTATACAACAAACTGACAAATTTCTGTTTTGCAAATTAGTCTGAGAAATGAAAGTAAGACTAGCAATATTCGACGATCCCGAACAAATTTTTAGTCTTTCCTTCCTTGTTTTCCTAGAGTTTTTTTCAGGAGTCAATGTTTGGAAACTTATATGATATCCCTATGGTATGAATATGATAAGAAAAGTTGAAACAGTTTAATAGACGACATACAATTATTCGTCAGGAAAAACAGTAAGCAATAGGGCCACTACTTGAGGTTTCCTAATATATTATGAGGATTAAAGAGTGGAACAATTGTTACTTATCAGATTCTTATTATGAATGCTAACAGACTATTTTTTGACATAGGAGTATTATATCGGAACTGATATTATATCGAAGTGATAATCAATAAGCAACCAACCCTTTGTCGCGACGTTTTATAAATCAAACTAAGTGTTACACAACAAAGGTCATATATTCAATGAATGGAAAGTATCGGTGTACATCAAGAATAAAAATAGGTAAACAGAAATAAGAACAGAGACTGGGAACTTTCTATTAAAAGTAATTGTTCTCACCCTACCAGTTTATTAATTTCAGAACCAAAACACAATAACTACTCTATTCTTCGGATAGTGAAGTAAGAACTAAACTCTTTCCTTCCCATTTCGAAAATGTCATTCCCGCCAGTCATCTCCTGTCATTTATATTGCCGCCGCTGGAAAGCATTACCCTTCAAGGAGGAGAGGCAATTTAAAAAATAGTAACTTTGTAGTTTTGTGACGAAGTGGAGAAGTTGTGGCGGACGACTATTGGGGGTCTTAATAAGCAACAGTCTGAAATTATTCATTGGCCTGTCGAGGAGCCACAATAGCACAAGATTAATTTAATGCATTAACTGGAGTTCTGAAATCAGTTCCGATATAATACTCCTATGTCAAAAAATAGTCTGTTATCATTCATAATAAGAATCTGATAAGTAACAATTGTTCCACTCTTTAATCCTCATAATATATTAGGAAACCTCAAGTAGTGGCCCTATTGCTTACTGTTTTTCCTGACGAATAATTGTATGTCGTCTATTAAGATACTGTCAAGAAGTGGAAGATGACGGTTGGTAGTCATGTGGCGGAAATAGTAAGACAGGGGATTTGGGCATCACTCACAGGCGGATGGTACTATGAACCAGGCTGTACGCTCTTCTGCAACGCTGTCCATTTATATCTATGGCTGATACTCTTCCTTATTCCTCTCTTACTTGGTTTGTGCTCATTTTCTTCCATTTCACTTCACATTTTATTTCTTAATATTTTATTTTTGGTTTTTGGTTACTTCGTCATCAGTAGAAAATGTTGCTGAACTTGCTTAAATGATTTTTATTTCATTGAGAGGAGATGCTAGGAAAGGGTTTTGCATTGTTCTAACCACTTAATTAATTCGCATAAATTACGAAGTTTTGTGGTTAAGAACAAAGATGATAAAACACTGAGCGACGATGATTCAATAATGTTCATAATATAATTGATAAAAAGTATCAAGAAAATGAAAATTCTTTCGTGTAATTGGTGGAATATATTATCAATACATTTTTAACATTTTAATTTATTTAAGATAGTATTCGATTATATTTACTCATATTTCAGGACTCTCCTTTGGTACTATAACGTCTATGTACATTACAGTGGCCTATGTGACTTTCATCACTCTTCTCTTTGTAGTATTGAAATTCACGGTCTCATACTTGCACAACTTATTTGACACTGTTGATCCAACTCCGTACCCTCCTGCCCGTTCACTGAAGGTTGTTGCTTTTTTTCTTTGATCGAATGTTAACTTTAGTGTTGAATTAATTGAATTGTTTTGATTGGAACTTTTGTTATGAATAAAGTTCAAATTTAGTGCTATAGTTTTAATTATCTAAACATGAGTAATCCGTTAAATGGGACAACGTTTTTTATAGGTTGAAAGTTTTTCCTGTGAGACAACACAACATTCAAATGAAAAGCACAGAGACGAAGAAATTGAAATGGTAGATTTGCGGAAGAAAGATGGTGATGAAGCTGAGGATATAAATCATAGCTTATCTCGAAACTCGTTAGGACGTCGACGGTGTGTACGAATTGGTGACAATTCTGTTTCATCTATAGATGCAGAATTGCGGATATGCAAGGTTTTTTGGTCTTTATATATAAAAATACAAGATAATTGGTAGAATTACTGTTCTTCAACTCTAAACATTAGTTTATTTTTTGATGCCTTGTCTAGGAAGTTGGCGGAGAATGGGATGAAGACCGAAGTAGTGGTCGACAAACCAGACAGGGATTAATTGCACCGTCAATAGCAACACTTCTCCCTGTAGATAGCCTTGAATTATTGCCGACTGGAATAAGGTGAATTCAGTTTTTATGCTCACAATCTTGAAAAACTTTGAGTTTTCGCAATTCCTAAAAAAAGCTAATATGAAAGAAAATTTTTCACATCAGATTTTCTTTAGATAAGCGGAATTTACTAAACTGCAGGCATCATCAATCAGACAATGGCACAATTCAGTGTATTAGAATCGATCGGAAATTCTCTGAACCATGTTTGAAGGAGGCACACAGATGGAATCGAACACGACGTCGACGTTTAAGTGATACTGGTCCCTGTGTACGTCGTGCAAAATCAGCTTTCGAGACTTCAAATAAAGATGTTGCTAGTGGGTCGATGTTAAATGAACAGACGTTAGAGGAATGCAAGAGAGTAAACCTTATTCTAATATAATTTCTCAATCAGATTTATCGTTGGCAACCTATTCTTCAATAAATATTGTAACACTTTCGTAATCTTGGTGTAAGACATTACTATTGCTTTGAAGCATTTTCTTAGTAATGAGAAAAAAAACTGTCGGTGGCAGAGAGAAAACGAGGCGGAGTAGTAATGGATTTATCTCTGGTCATTCTGTTTTCATTGAAAAATCGACGCAGATGATATTGATTCTGCTTCAAGTGCTAAATGAATTCATTAGATTTGATTCATGGTTTGTTTGTCATCACGTTAATTAAGGAGATTGAAATTTCGGTTAAATCAGGACTGAGATTTGACACAGCTATCCATGATATAAAATAGTGTATCACCTTTAATTTGGAAAGATTTTTTAATATTATTAATTGTCAGCTCAATTTCTTTTCCCTAACATTACTTGGAATTTGCTAGCGGTATCGAAAGGCTTTTCTTACCCTACATGGTAATGCATATTTTAATCATAATTTTCAGGTAATTCGTAAATCTTATCCGACAAAAATGAGCAGTACAGCAGCTTTTTTATCAACTACTCTAACAAAACGCAGTTGTCCATCTCGTACAGTTTCCACTGACTTTTCAGTTCCTCATAAATGTTCAGAAATGTTTCTTACTTTAGCTTTTATAATCTTATTAAACTTGCGTCTTATTAAATTGTGGCATGGAATGGAGTATTTAGTCCCAAAAAAAAAATAAACTTAAATTTTTCAAGCTTCAATTTGATTTTTTTTTTTTTTTTGAATTTCATGAACAGTTTTAGCTGTTTTCTCACAACATAAGTTTACAGGTGAGCGCAATTTTGATAGCAAGTTGAAAACCGGTTCGAGTGATATATGTTATTCAAATAAAAAGAATCTTGTTCTCTTCGATGAAGGCAACGAACAACAAATTCCAGCAAGAGTGATTTTTCCCCGTTTTGAAGATTGTTATGTGTTTTGAAAGAAGCCTTTATTTGTTCTGCTTCTACTCTACTAGTTTAAATGGTCCTACTATTTTAAGAAGTGTTATTTTATATGTCGTTGATTTCAGATTGATGTATTGGACATAATCTCTACTAGTGAAGAAACTGAAAATCTTACTGTGGAAACAATCGTGCATCTAGAGGTATCCTCTGTTCGACTTTCTTAAAATTAATTTAAAGTAGTTATTAAATGCTTTTTTCATATCCCGATATTGTTGTTTTCTTCTTTAGCCTGATTCTGAACCGAAACCAAATGTTATATCTTCGGGTGAAGGCTGGCGACCCATTTTCGTTTCTCTTGGTGACTTAGAAAAACCATCAACAAGTACATTGCATCGAACATCAGAACGGCTTAATGGAGGTGACACCCTTCCAATACTAGATAATTTATGTACTCTTCTTGTCAGAAATTTCTGTTTCACATTTTTTTCTTGATATGTGTTTTGATCATTAGTTTTTAAGACAAAAATTCGGAGTTAAAAAGAAAAATTTTAACACAAGTCATCAATACTGTAGTCGAGATGTTATGGATTTACTAGCTACAAAAATGTCTGCGCTCTTAGGGATCTAAATTTTGCTTTTCATATCTTAGAATTTTTTGTTCGCTTCCCAAATATAATTAAATATATCCAGCAGTTCATGAGTCAGATGGCATCAATGTCTTCATCAAAAAAAAGCATATCACTGTTGTCATTTAATGCAATTATACTGTGGAGAAAAAATTGCTAAGATCAGTGAAGAAATGGACAAAAGAGAAACATAAAACTGTGCTCTGGAAATAGCTTGTTTAATGTATTTTCAAATGAATGCAAGATGTCAATAACAAGTTCGGTTCGATGTGGAATTTTTTGTTGAAGAACAGATTTTACTGGATTTAAAATTTATTGAATAACACAAAAGTTTCATTCAACGAAATGTTTCATTCATCAAAATGTTTGTAGGAGGCAACTTCAGAAGAGTGGATCTGAAAGGTGAGATTACGAAGTTTCTGGAGGAATTGATTGATAAACATCCGGAAACGTTGGATGCTATTGAAAGTGTAAGAATGAATAGATTAGGACGAGGTCTTAGCTCAGTAAACCCTTGCCTTCGTTCTCATCCTCCGACTTTGGCACAGCCAAGGTTACTTTTGTTTCGCTTAGGGTTTTTTCTACCAGTCATACCGCTTCTTTCGATTAAATTCATATGCATATCTTTCTTTGTCGAGCTGTGGTAATGCGAAATGGTAAAGCAAAATTTAGTTTTATCCCGTGAATGTTAGAATAAACGAATTTTCTTAAATGTTGCATAAGCTGCCACTTATCAGAGTTACTGTTAAGTGAATAGAATCCATGAAAGTTAAAATAAATTTCGCAATATTTTTTTTTGAAGAACAATTGAGAGGAGCTCCACAACGGTAGCAGCACTTTCGAATTTGGCTATGAAAGATGGTACTCATGTAGCTTTAGATCATGAAGATACTTCACAAGGAGCCGTCCATTCATTTCAAGTTAGTTCTAAATTTTGTGACTTCAAAAGTAGAAAAAATTCTTTCATTTAAGCTTGACATGTGGTTTATTTCAGGATGAAGATGGAAATTGGTGGACATATGTTTTTGATGAGCATGGTGTTGGAACTGCTCATGCGTTGGGTAGTAGTCGTGCTTTAATGGAAATGATTCAGAGCAACAGTACTGCAACCAATGCAGTAAATGATTTTTCGTCAAAAATTTACTCAGCCAAATTATTTTTTTGTTCAGAACAAAACTGATTTTCAAGGAAATCTACAACAATTCTGTCTTCTAGAAACTAGCAGTCTTACCAGGAAGCGATTCTGATTCGACGGAAGATTCTGATATCGATCCCACAGTAGTGGCAAGTATAAATGAAGGCTGTTCGCACACGCAGTTTTTGGAAGGCGCATCCTTATCCGCTGCAGATCGATGTAGGGCGTTGTCATCTTCATCGACGGAAAGTAGCACATATATTGCAGACACTCCCAGTGCTATTTATCATGCTTCAAGCTCAGCACTGATGTCCAGACATCCAAATCGTGATAGGTATTTCTATCAATACATTTCAGCAAAGGAATGAACTATACGATACGTTTTTATTTCTGTTCTCAATCTGTTTGAGATAGGCTTTTTTTATTTGAATAATTGCATCAATTTATATGCTTATTTGTTGTTCAAAGGTTCATATAGTGATTTAAAATCTACAGACAAATGGTATCGTTTTCTATGATGGCTGCTCGCCTCAGAAATGCTACTAGACGGCGCTCTCATGGGAGTCTTGTTCGCGGAAATAACTTTCTTGAAGAACAGGCTGCAGGTAATGTGTGAAATGCTTGTTATCGATGGTCGTTGTCAGTTCTTTTCTTGCTTCCAGTCAGTCTTTTTTTGCAACTTATAATTTATACTTTTTATATCGCAGTCCAGAAGTTTTGTGATGTGAAATGAGTAGAATGACGTTATCATTATAATATTATTGACATGAAACGAATTATTTTCAGAAAGAATGCCTCAAGTAACTCATCTGATGTCAACTAGTGATCACCAAAGAGCATTAAATGGTGCTAGTCGTGCATCTCCACGTACTGGTTCACCGCGGGCCCTCCGTCGCATGCCGTTTTTTTCTGATATATCTGGGATTGGTACATCGGATTCAGGCCGAATTAATACTGGGAAGAAAAGTCATTACTATCGAATTAAACTATTTCCTTCTCTTACTGGCGGGAAAGGAATAAAGCTGGAGGTCGAAATTTCTATTCTTTTTTATCAGTTTGCAGACGAACCATAGATAACAGTAAAAGATATAAATTAAATAAGCCTTTAATGCTGAGTGTAGTGGCATTCTGTACAAAGGAACTGAGATATTAAAAAGCGATAATTATATTGTTAATTTTTTAAGATGGATCGGCTTTCAGTAGCAGCTCTATTTGATCGTAACAGTACATTGTTCTCAACTCTCTTTGACATATGTCTCGCATCGGTAGTTGCGTTGCTAACGGCAATCGTTCTCTCGCGCTCCATTTATTACGATTTGACGCTCATTCTTTTCGCTTTTGTTGTTGCCGGAACACATGTAGGTTTTTTGCTGTTCCTTTATATTTAAAACTATAGGCTGTAATCCTTCATGTGTGGAATCTTGTAACTAAGTATGTTTTTTCATTGATAGGCTTTTGAACACTAGATAAAAGTTAACTTACTCTGTAGATGTATAAATAAAAGACAATAACTGCCGCAGATTTACTTCGTTTGAAAATTTTTAATGGATCTTGGGAGTGGTTAATCTAATCCTGGAATCTATCATCGCTTGATTGAAGTAGTGAGTGTCTAGTTCTCGTTTTTTTTTTTTTTTTTTTTTTATTTTTTTAATTTTTTTTCATGGTAGTAGGTTATCTTCATACATGATAGGTTAATTACAAATTACTTTTCCGTAATACAGTTAGACAACCACTTAAAATTCAAGTCCGTGTGATCCTGAAAGACAGAGCAATTATTATTTTCCTAATCACATACTCTATGTTAAAACTTCTGTCCTGAATGACGATGTAAACAAATGAATTAATGTTCTTTTCGAATTCTGAGTTTTATTCTTTCGCAACTTAATATTTGTTTTTGAATTTTGTTGTGTTACCACTTTTTATTAATGATTCGAAATTTCAGTTTTCCCTATTAAAAAGCGTACAGCCGGATGCGGCATCACCAATACATGGATTTAATTGGCTCGTGACATATTCGAGACCGATTTATTTTTCGGTTATGGCAGTAGCGTTACTTTTGATAAGTGGTGATTGGTGGAATTATGGTGATGCAATTCATTCACTAGACTGGGAATGGAATTTTTATCGTGTACAAGATGTTTCATTAATATCTTTTCTTCTGGCTTGTCGTGATTTACTGGCTGTTTTATTAATTTTGCTACCTATCGCATTTACTTTCGGTTTATTGCCACAGGTAATATTTTCATGATTTCATGAAGTATTCTACGAAGTATTAAATGTCTCACTGACTAATTAGTTGTTATGCCAAATAATAGCTTATTGGAAATATATTTCACTGTTTCTATTTATTTGAGGTAAATACACTAGTAATACATTTGTTGGAACAAGTGGAAATGAATGTTTTTGGTGGTACTGCAAGTTTTTCTTTATTATCCGGACTTATTCAAATTAGCAAAAGTTTGATGGCTTTTGGTTTTCTCTGCTTCATCGCAAAAGCCGCAAAACATACAGATCCTAATGGAACACAGAATGCCTTTTTTTCAGCTTTTACTGCAACAGCCGTTGCTATTTCCTACTTTCTTTCAAGGTATAACACTGTTCTTCTTTATCACTTTATTTACAAATTTGTTCCATTTTTTTATCAATAGCTATTGTGCTCTATTTTATCCAGGAATTAGTATGTTAGTTTATTTATTATGCTCAAATTTTAGTAATTTATAGCTTAATTGTTTAATCAAGTGTTTTTACTGTACCAATGATAAAATGAGAACAAAAATAAATTTTAGAAGTACAAGCAATCCTGGTCTTATGGCACTATATTTTCGATACATGATTTCGTCATCTAAATGCTCTCAATTAGATGCGAATCAGGAAACAGAAAGTGAAACAAAAGATGAAGTGACTCCGTGCTTAAAGGATCCGCTACCAGATGAGTTGCAAAGTGTAATCATAAATCGAATCAAGAACGATGTTGTTATTTCACTTATCATTTTGGTGTTATTTTTTGCAATTCATTGCACATCGATTTTCACTGCTGCTCAACCATTTTTGCAGGTTTTTCTGGACTTTGATTACATCATTCACTTAAAAAGGATGGCATCCTTTGATAGCTCGATATCATGTAGAAACGACTTTACGTAATCTATCAAAAATAAAGAAAAGAAACTAGCGATTTTGTTCCTCAGTGGTTCAATAACATCTTACCAATGTTCTACGCATTGGTTATGGTGTCATTGATTCAGTTTTTTCATTTCACCCTAGTTTGAATTTTCATTCGTTTAAAGCGTTTAATGAAAACTCACTGTTTCTAGCTCTACCAAACTCCGTCAGTTTCGGATGATTTTGCTTTTCATAGATTTATTCTCATAATTTATTTTCAAGTTTCGTTTGCATCTGTAAAATTGGCATGTATTTTAGACAATAACATGCATTATTTGCATAGTTTTCGGATTTACCAATCATTATTTATATATGGAACTACGAAAAAACACACCGTGGCGTATTTTTGCACGACCAATTTTACGCGCTCATGAATTTGCCCAATTTGAATCGTTGGTTGCCGCAAAGTTGACGTATTTTGAAATCATTCACTTTTATATGCTTGCCATTGAAAGAAATGTGGTCAGTTCACTTTTTTGCTTATAATCTGTCATAATGCGCTCTTCACGAAAAATGAGAACTTCCACGTTATTTCTTACAGCTAGTTTACTAGTCGGTTGTCATATAATTCTAGGTTGCACTATTCTTGAAACATTGGGTAATCGCTGTCGTTTTATTTTGTTCATCTTGAAATAAATATTCTAAAATCAAAATACAATACCAACACTTGTTTTACAAGTGCATTTCACTATATTCCGCTGTAAATATTGATAGCGAAAATGCTTTTATAATCAATTTAATTTTTTTTTTTATTAAAGGGTTATTTCAGTTGTATCCGTTATTTGTAGTAAGTTCAATAACAATTAACAAGTGGACACTGCATCCCTACTTCATTGCTCTTTTCGCTCTTCGCATTCTTCGTTCGGCTTTCTCACAGCCACAACTCATATTTTTACCATTGGCATTCTCCTTCCTTTTGACAAAAGCTGATCTTGCCAAGTATTCCGATATCGACCGTTATTTCCCGTTACTTTTTTATTTGGCCACGCTTGTTTGGCCGAAACTTTTGGAGTTTTCGCTGAAAATTAATTTTATTCTTGCGTATGTGGCACCGTGGCAAATCAGGCATGATTTTTGTTATATTCAGGTTTTCTACTTTAAAATAACTTCAGACTAGGAAAATTTTGAACCTTGTTATATATATTCTTTCTTGGTTACGCATTATTATTTTCATTCTAGGTTTCGGATTTTGTCGTTTTTATATATTTATATCATAGAAGTTTTCGATATACATTTAATTGCTTTGCATAATATTTATAAAAATTTCGTTTCTTCTAAATTTGCAAATCCTTAAGTCATCCTATTTGTTTTGCAGTTGGGGTTCTGCATTTCATGCTTTCGCGCAACCGTTTAGTGTGCCACACACAGCTTTATCATGCATCCAAACAATGCTTTCTTCCATTATATCTGCCCCACTCAATCCTTTCTTAGGTTCTCTTTGATCTAAAGTTGTAACTCAGAAGGTTTCATCCTTTTATTTTAATATCAATGTAGGAAATATCATGTTTAATGATAAATTTTTATAATTTATTCTTTTCTCCTATACTTTAAGAACTACGATGTCGTACCTCATTATATAAATACTTATCATACTCAAGAAACGAATTAAATATATATACAAGCATTTTAATACGCTAATTGCAGGTTCATCATTTTTCTTAACATCATACGTACGACCGGTGAAGTTTTGGGAAAAGGATTACAATACACGTCGCGTGGATCATTCTAATACACGTCTAATTTCACAAATTGATCGCGGGCCAATGATGGACGATAGTAATTTAAATGCTGTTTTCTATGAGCACTTAACAAGATCACTGCAGTCATCATTGGCGGGCGATATTCTCTTAGGACGTTGGTGCACAGCTATACAACCTGGCGACTGTTTTATTTTAGCTAGGTTCATAATTCCGTGCATTATTATTTAAGCTGTACAATAATTTGAACAAGTTCGTCGGAAACTGTTCAATTACTACTTTGATCTCATGTTAGCTTTAGTAGCCCTGCAGTTCCAATTTTGCAATCATATTGTTGTGTATTACTTCCAAAAATTTGTTGGGAACCGTCAAAAATTTTAAAATTACTGATTAGCAGGAGTTTCATGGACTTAGAATTTTGTTTGCATGATAATTTTGAAGACTTCAGTTTTTATCCTCTATTATTTGAAACCTTCATATGCACCATAGAGGTTTGTCTTCAGATTTGTTTGTTTTCAGCTATTATTTAAATTGCTTGGTCCATATTATTGAGGTTGGAAATGGTTTTGTAACTTTTCAGTTGCGGGGTCTTGAATTTAGAGGAACATACTGTCATCAACGTGAGGTAATTTTACAGTTCTTTCAAACTTAAAACCTCAGTAGTTGAATTGGCATGTTTATTTTGGTACTTAGCTTCATCGTCCTGCTTAATTTTTAATTTTAAATTTAGCGTAACACTTGATAATTTTTTTTTCAGGTAGAAGCAATAAGTGAGGATGTTGGAGAGGGTGTGGGTTGCTGTTGTTGTTCTTTAGGTCCACTCCCTGGCATGTTATCATTGAATACAGCTTGGGTTCTGCGATGGCTTGCTTGGGAAGTTGTTACAGCAAAATATATTATTGATGGTTATTCAATTACTGACAATTCTGCTGTGAATTTGCTCCAAGTCAGTGTTCACAAGAATAATGCTCATTGTTTGCTTGAAACATTATTTTAAATTGACTTTATTTTTTGCTAAATTCATTTATGCGGAATCATTTTAAGTGCTTTGAATGGTGGTGGTACGTCCAACCTTAATTTATATGTTTGCTACACGAAAGCTGCTTTACTTTTTTTAAAATCAGTTCTGCATAAATGGTTGTTTATTTCTCCGCCAATACCAACATAATTTTTCTAATACAGTCGCAGATTGTGAATGTATTAGAAGAATTAAAGAAAGCAATTTATCACTAAAAATTCATGACTTGAAAAACAATCATTTTTCTCAGGAATATTTCTTTATTTTTTTAAAACTTCTTTCATTTTAGGTACACGAACTGCGTCGGCTGTTAGTTACACTGTATGTTAAAAGCATTATATTTTATGCTCTTAATTCACCAAAATTTTCCCAATGGATTCGACTACCTAATATTGTATGTGTTTAAAGTGGAGTACTGAAAGCTTTGGTTTGTAGTTAGATAATATTCTTCAAATTATTTTTATGCAGGATTTTTTCAGAAATTTTAATATACTACAATATTTTAAACATGTAGATCATTTTCAGCTCTGTGCTCTAAGCCCAATTGAAACAAATATTCGATATGTTGATCTGGATCCAATGTTTAGCGCTGCGAATGACGAAGATTTCGATATCAACCTTATGGCATTTTTTAATTCTGGGATTTTTATTATTTTCAGCTTATACATTTAAATTTTGCATTAACTTATGTTTAGGGTGTTTCCCGGCAAAGTTTCACGGAACTATATGAGAATTGGATACTCCATTGTGTTGAGCAACACAGTGCCGATTTGTAAGTTTTTATAAGTTTTCATCAACTTTGATAATCATAATCTGTCCGAGCCTTCCTTCAGTTAATATGCAAGTTCTTCGATTCATGATATTAAAACCAAATACACGGTCAGTGAGATAGTATTAGCGAAGTCTTTTGACTTTTCAAAAGTTTATGTTGATCAAAAGCAAGTTATATATATATATAAGGTCTTAATAATATAGTAAATGAAAATTTGCAAATGATTGCAGGAATGTTGAAAAAACTATTAACAATAGAATTAATGCATTCTGTTTTGCGCTTTCGGTCGTTGGACGGAGAGCACTTGCCGCTGCAGCGCATAATCGCCATGCAAACGCCGCTGAATCATTTCTTTATGGTTTACATGCTTTGTTTAAGGGCGATTTTAGGTTTGTATTTAACTTATTTTGCACTATCCAAAGGTTTATTTTTGAATGCTGAAAAACAGTGGGTATTTAGTGACACTGAAATTGCATCACAGTTACATTATTTATGGCGTTTATTTTGATAATATTGAGTGCGGATTAGCACTCCTACATATTCTAATTTTTTAGAATAACGTGTCAACGTGACGAGTGGGTGTTTACCGACATGGATTTATTGCGATGTGTGGTAGCGCCAGCAATACGAATGGCACTGAAACTACATCAGGATCATTTTACTGCAGGAGATGATTTTGATGATGCTGTATTGCTCTATGAACGTATTACGCACCATTTGACAAGATTATTTATTTCACATGAAGTAAGCTTAAGCATTCATACAAAAGATTTATTTTGTGGATTTCTTTGATTTTCGAGCTTACAAAAGATTTATTTTGTAGCTATTTTTTATTGATAATTAAGCATGATCCTGCTTGGAGAAGAGCTATTATAGCAAATACTCCGACTCTGTTAGCTCTGCGACACATTTATGATGATGGTCAAGATGATTACAAAATCATTATGCTGAATAAAATGCATCTCAACATGAGGTATTCTGATATATTTCAATGGATATCACTGTTTCTAAATAATAGTATCCATTGAAATAACTATTTTTTCACGATGGTTTTTATTTTCATGATTTTTACAAATATTTACAAAACATTATTTTTATTTTTCACGGTTAATATGTACAGGGTAATAAAACTGAATCGCGAATGTGTTCGTGCGTTTTGGGCCGGCCAGCAGCAGGAATTGATTTTCTTGCGAAATCGAAATCCAGAAAGAGGATCAATCCAAAATGCTCGCCAAGTTTTGAGGTATTATTTTTGAGCAGCGAAAACAGCATGGAGAAATAGTTGCACACATGCTAGAGAATTTCTTGTTCTGTTGTAGTTTTAAGTCTGTAATTTTTTAAAATGCTTTTAGTTTTTCAGAAATATGATAAACAGCAGTGCGGATCAGCCAATCGGATATCCAATCTATGTATCTCCTCTCACCACCTCTTTTGTTGATTCACATTCTCAAGTACGCTCATTAAGTATCCCTCCAAGGACATTTGAATTTATTTCTCGATCTTTTCGCTTTTTATGGACTTCACTAAGAATGAATTTTGGTACCAGTGGAAGCAGCAATATACCAACACAGGCAAGGAACTGCTTCAGTTATATTTCATAATTTGAAGTTACTTTCTTGAGCATTTAAAGCCTTCTTCTCTAAGAAAAAGAGACAAAACATAAAAATTTGACTAAACTTGCAAACTTCCTTCGGATATTTTAGCTTATAACGGCAACAGCTGCGGCAGTTGTAACACACACTAATCTAAGCAACGATAGTCAAACTAGCGTGGAACATCAAAGTGAAATACCCATTTTTACTTCCACATCTATCAGAACTGTTGAAAATAATAGACGACGATATGCAACTGCCTCTTTAACCACTGTGCTTAGGGTGAGGATTTATGTTTTGAAAAAAAAAAAAAAAAATTTCCCATACTTTTCAGGGGACGAGAATTTTTGAGCTATAGCATTCCTTAAAACAACACTGTAAAGTACCTTTTACAGTGTTGTTTTATGAGTACTGTAAAGTACTCATTTTTCCCAGACTGTTTTGATAAGTTTCAGCAGATATTTTCATATAATTTCAGCAAGAAAACTCCATTGTCTCGGTTGCTGGAGATGGTGCAACGAAAGTAACGCTGTGCAAAGACAGTCTAAAATCCCTTGAAGCAAATGATGTCATACATAAAGGTGGAGGAGTATCACTAGCCTCCACACGACATGAACAACTGCAGTATGCTAAAATTACTAATATAAAAGAAGTTGGTACTTAGATTTGAGACTTTAAAAACTTTGTTTAAAGTTTTCCAGAGACTTTTCACAATATAAGGTTATAATTCCATCCGTTTAGAAGTCTTATATTTCTTTTTCTTGATGTTCCCTTGCATATTTGTGGTATTATTTTCTTCCGTTTTGAATTCGTAGTTTAATTATGCACACAGATTTTACAAGCGATATTTCACCAAGTCTTGTACGAATAAGTCAAGGAAATTTTGTTTTCATCAAAGTTACTTATAAAGTGCTTCCATATTATTTCTAGGTCTTTACGTGCTTAGATCAGCCTTTAAAGTCAACCGGTGAACCGCCGGTTACTTGGCCACATATCTGTTGGCAAACGCTCGGTGGTCGTAGTTCATGGGATTGGATGCCGTTGAAGGGACATCGAGGCAAAGTTGTACATAAATGGGTGCCATTTCATCCGCAGCGTGAACAACGGTCACATGCAGGGACGATCTATTTGGTGAGTAACCGTTCTCTCGTGCAAACACTTTTTAGTGACGTAAGATTAGTCCAGAATAACCTCTGATTAGTTAATTACATGACTTGCAATTTTGTCTAAGAAATCTGGGATAAATGAATTTTCTGCCATATCCATGAGACGATCTATCATCAAAAAGGCCTGTTCAGTCTTCAGCTAATTCGTTCAATATAGTATGGCTTCCCCGAAGGAATTCATCATACCTTTGAACGGTAGATTCTGAACAATGCTGTTTGTATTGGTAAGGTTATTTTCCCATTTTAATGATCTTTTTGCATGATTTCGATTGTAGCTGTGTGTAAAGGAAATGGGTGGTTGTTACGTTCCTGTTGGCGAGAATGGAATCGAATCCATCACAAAAGAAGAGTACGAAAGTGAAGTAAAAGTTGAAGTGGCTGTCAAAATGGAAATTTTGAAGGCTTGACATTTGCTTCGGATTTACGCTGGAGAAGCGCATAATTTCAATTCCGTTGGCAGTAGTTATAAATTAGAGAATCATTCCTGTGAAAATTTTGAAGCGTTCGCACAGGACCTTGATAAGTGTGAGTGAGACCGATAAAAACCTGAAACAAATTTGCTGGAAAACACATATTTTAATATATTTAGAAATATTCGTTTCTACACACTATAAGTTTGTCTTGCGGAAGCTTAAGTAAGCAATAATTAGTCTTTGTTTATCACAGCAGGGGCAATAAGAGACTGTTCTAAAATCCTTATATGCTGCCGGTGGTCATCATTTTCCTTTTCCTACCCGCAAAACTATCATATATTTGTTTATTTGCTTTTGAAGAAAAAAGATGGTCTCCGCAATATCACCATTTATTAATTCTTTCCAAATTTAAGTAGATTACCACTTCCTAGAGCATCTATTCAAATTCAATTTGTTCATGATACAGTTCACATTTTTCGGGATCTGCAGTTTTATATTTGATCAAACAAGAACCAGCCGTGCTGTTTTGCATTAATGCATTTCAAGTATCCAAACAAAACGGAGCCCTCTATCTCTCTTTTTCAAAACACAAAGCATAAGAACATTTAATCATGATAACATAAGCGTAAGATAAGTCATAAGGCAACTAATCATTAGAAATCTAGGAATGTTTCTTTGAAAACCTTTTGAACTGCATTGTAATTTGTGATTTGAAAAAGCAAAGGACGAAGATTAATGTTATTGTTCGAAAACAGAGTTAAGTGGAACAAAATTTACCAAAAATCTTTTCTACTTATTTTTATGTCCTCTAACAATATATGGAAATGAATACTGCCACAGTGAGAATAATAATTTTCTTACAGTTTAAATAAGATATTGCACCTAACCACAACTGGGTATTAACTGCGCATTTCGGCATCACAAAAATATTTGCCCGAGAAAACATTTCGTCGCACCAAAGATAGGTGATACAAATCGTCGCTCGTAGTAGTTATCTCTGCACCAGAAATGGTTACATTTGATACCTATAAATTAAAATACGTATTATTCTGTACTATCAAAGCTATCAATGACTATAGTTTTTCTCAAAGCAGAGTAGCTAGAATTAAGTCGAAAGGAAGAGACAGTTATGTTTTGGCATGTAATAATAAATGATAACTCAAAGTTGGGATTACTTCATAATAGTAGTGAGAAAGACAACGATCGTCTTTAGTAATAATCAATAACAACTGCAAATTTTGTGGCAGGGAAATACATCAGCTAAAACTTTGTTTTAAACTGCACAAACACCAGTATTTGAGAAAACGGATCATATGAAGAAATAAAGTAAAGCAAGAAGAAGTCATGGGTTCCTCCAAAAAAAAAATTTACTTGAAATTGAACAAAGGTCTGCGAAACAGTTGCGGGACCACCAGAAAGTGAAAGCCTTGCTTTTAATGATCCGCCACATTCACCATCTCGAGAAAGCTCAGCTAGTTTCCAAGATATTGTGTTGCTCGAAGGTGACCTAAAACAATTTGTTGTTAACTCTTAAAGATTTTGTGATAGAGAAACTCAAATATATGAGTTATAGATTCTCTAAACCTACCGTCATTTCAAGCTGCAGTTTTACCACAATTTAATGCTTATTTATAGTCATCACCGGATCAAAATGTGTATCCCGCTGCTTGGCTTTTTTGATACTTACCATTCCGCATTAGGATCTGCAATAACACTGACCACGGAACCCTCCACCTTTGTAGTGAAAACAACATTTGCAAGAGAGCAATTGATACTACTATCCATATTTAATCGATAATCAATTCTTAAATCCGTATTCTGTGCCTCCAATTTCCAGTAAACTATTAAAACAATTGGTGGAACTGTCGGCTCCTTTATTTCATACGTTAATACCTGAAATAAAATAAATGTTTCATGTGGATCTGGTAGATCTATTTCTTCTCAGCATACACTAAGGAAGTTACCTCTGCATTGAAGAACTGAGAATCTGGTTTTTCAATCTTTCGAGCAGATAACCATTCAGCTAGCCGACTTTTCTCAAATGCAAACGTGTAAGGTGCAGCGAAAGCATCAATAACTTGCGAAATCAACTAAAAATATATTTTCAATAAAAATCATAGTTTCACCTATTATTCTTTCAAAATCTTGTCGGCATTACTTCACTGCTTTAAGCTTTTCCTGTTCAAGGTTCAAGGCAATTAATGATTCTAAATTGGTTTTTTTTCTTACAAACAAGTGTGACATGTCAAAACTTTTGTTCAGCCGAAAATAAATGAGCGAAACGTGGAATTGAGTCGATCGAAGGAGTAAAAACAAAAGCGATATTTGTAAGGATTGAAACTGATATTAATAAATAACAGAAAGTTGGAAATTTTACAGCATACATTTCCCTTACCTGACTGTTCGGCGAAATAGCTTTGATTTTATCGGCATTTTTCAACGTTACGATAAGTGGATCAATGTCAGAGGTAAGGTCAGTTAAAACGGGAACAACGGACGCTGGGAACGATACAAGAATAGAACCAAAAGCTCGAACTGTTGTTCTGCAAAACTTATTACATTTTAGGAAAATTGAACTGTTTCGTAGAGTAGTTGCTTTGAAACATGGCCATAAATGACTTATTCAGTTCTTTCAGCTATTAGCATCACTTACTTTGCCAGATCTGTTCCTCTGAACCACGCATGTATATACTCATTAATTGCCATTGCAACCGGTATACGATTCTCTTTAATCGTGGCTGAAGCGCTTAAATTTAATGCTGATATCTTAAAAGGTATCCCAGTAGCCATAGAGTGTTCCAAGGACAAAGCTGATTCGCTTCCAGAAAACGTTTGACTTCCTGTGGATCCCTTTAAGTGCCGAAAAGTCAGAAATAAACATTAAAGCACGTAAAAACTGAATGAAGTAAAAAAAAAACCCATTACTAATGTCAATCAGCGTTTAATAATATTTATGATCTGAAGGTAAGCCACAGTACATTCTTTACGTTACAGTGTAGATTTCCTTTTTTATTCAGGAATAAATGTCAGTTAAGAAAGCATATTGAGCATTAAAAGACATCTACTGTAATATTTTGTTGGGAATCAGTATTTTTACCACTTCTGCAGAACGAACTGATGAATGATCACATGTTTGCAATGTCAAGCTAGATACTCCAGGTGTTGGCGTACTACTGTGCGGTCGAGCTCGAGCTACATTTGAACTGGACATCGAAGAAGAAAATGACAGCGATGAATCTAAAAACATAACTCAATTTCAGTTTTTTTCAGAAAAACTCGTCGGAAACTTGAACTAGAATTACCCGAGTGTTTTCCACGGACATGGTCATCACCAGTAAGTGCAGCACGAAGTGGTCGAACAGTTCCTTCTAAACCTGCATTGAAAGGTGTTGAACGACGTATAGATGACCATGGATCCTAAATAAAGGAAACAAATATATGTAAATTCACTAAAAATAAGTCAGAAATATGAGGAAAAACTTGCACAATCAAAAGTGCTGCTTCTGCTAAATGCTGTACTATGTAATACGATATTTCCGATCGCATCCCGAAGCTCATCAACCGATGCAGTAATGTTATCCTTAGATTCAATAAGAGGTTTAATGTTTATGTGGCGCAATTTGGCCGCTTGCCGTAGATCTTCATCATCATCTGAAAGCAAGCAGAATAAAAAAAAATGAAGGCATTCTTCCTTAATACTTCCTGACTTCAAAATTACAAAAATATAAAAAAGCAATCTACCTGAAGATTCAGTGCAGCTACTCCAACGTGACCGACTAAAATTATCACCGGCACCTTCATCATCATTATTCCCTGGTGGTGGTACAGTGGGAAGTGGCGGTGGTACAACTACAGGCACATCTAGTATATTAAGGGAACCATTTGTTGCAATGAACTGAAGATATTAAAAATATGGTAATGATTGCACTAATAATGTTCTAAAACAAATGTACTGCCAGTATGCAACAAAAACTCGTCAGTTCAAAATTTGAATAAAAGTTAACTCTTTAAAACTAACAGGTTTTTCTTCACTCTTGCTGCTACTCGCAGTGCTTTTTGAGTCCTCTGTGCTGGAAAAATTGTTTAGCTTTAGAATGTAGAAATAACGAAAAACACTGCAACACTAGTGCTATTCGACTACAATGCTATTTAATGCTAGTTGTACGTCCGTGTATCAGAAAAAGAGAAATTCATAAAAGGGATGCATTATTTGTAATACTGAAAGCAATATCAATTCAGCATCATTAAAAGGTATTCACATGTAAGTAATCATTAATATCTAGTATGATATTTCCATAAACAAACATACGCTGGACCATCTGTGTTGGGAGCGGTGATGTCGGTATTCGATTTCTTATGTTTGCATCGATATTTCTTTAGAAAACCTAAATAGGAGCACACCAGAAATCTCAATCAGAAATTCTAACTCCACAGCATACAGGTATGAAACAAAATACGACGAACCCAAAGATTCTGACTGGCTGTGACTAAATTCTTGGTGTGGGGGCTCCGATACTGGCAGGCTGCTTTGTGATGCATATTTCTTTCTTTTGCCGGGCAACCATAAGGACAATTTCTGTCGGCCTAATGAGGCTGAGAATGGTACAGATCCTGAGCCAATATTAGCTGCTGTAGACGAACTGCTATCGCTTGCTACTGGAGAAGGCTGTAAAAGAACCAACCAATCTAGTCTCCTATAAATAACACGCTTCTAGTTTGTTATGAAGAGGCTATTCAGTTTTTACAATGTTTATAGAAAAACAAAAAGTGGAGAATATGTTTATTTTTGCGAAAGAATTAAGAATTATGAACCTGGACTTTCAAAGCACTAATTTCGTTATTCCAGGCATCAAACGTATTGGTATCAAGTGTCATCAAATTGTGTGCCGTAGATGGGTGTCTGTCGACAGGAGCTGACCTATGTACAGATGTTGATAAATCAGAAGAATATGGAGCCAATACATCCGATGGATTAATATCTTTAGCAATATCAATTTCTTCAAAAACAGCAAATTCTGCAAAAAGACTGGAAAATAAATCCAACTTTTTTAATCAAATAAATCTGATGATCAGAGAGAATGTTAATAGCCAACGAAAAAACTTTGTTATAGAAATGGAAAAATTAAAAAAGCATTAATATCATTTAAAAAATTTTACAACTTCTATAATCCCAATTCACAAACATAAGACCTGGTCGATCTTTGCCTGTTCCTTTTGTTTCAACAAATTTGATTAACATTTCGTCAATGTCCAAATTATCAACCGAATCCCGATATAGAGCACATACCTTTAAAAAACACACACACAAAAAAAGTCGCTTCTAATAATAACGAAGTTGATTTAGAAACCATGTATTCAATTATGCCAAAAAAATTAAAACCTGTGATGTGGCAGATGCCGATTCGTCCAATGCACGTGCAAATATTGCCATAAACGTTTTCATTTGCAGCAAAAATGACTGATCATGTGCTTGAAATAAACGTGTTGCTTTAATCATTTTCTCTTCAAAATCAGCTCGTATGCGACCATACTTGTCTACATAACCCTTATATTCATCATGTGATTTGTTTAACTTACTTTCAGCCTGCAAAATGTAAAAATTTAAGAGCTTCATAGAAATCAAAAATTGCTAATCTGGTGTTATTTTTATCGTTCAATGAGGGCAATAGCAGTTCTGAATTAGGAGGTAAGAACAGACAAACTTAAAAAGATACCGAATATGGTTGCTTATGCATCAAAACAGTGATACCTTTAACAAATCCCGTGATTTCCTTTCCATATTTGAAATCAAAAATCATGAAGAATCAGAACTCTTTGAAAAAAAAGTAAGGCGCAATAAACCATTTATACTAACCTTTGAAATGTCCTTCGGTGTTGCATTTTCTTTTTTTAAACGTTCCAGTTCATTCACTCGTTGTGCGTATGTTTCTTTCGACTGAATTAATTAATATATTTATTTGGTTTTTTTTCTTTTTTTTTTTTTTTTTGTTTTTGGCAGGACTGAACATGGGATAAAATAGGATTTAGGTGATAAGACTAAGTGATAAGTTCAATATTTACCTTCTGCAGACAGGTAGTAGTGGTTTGCATTAAATTTACTGCATCCACAACATCTTGCTCTTTCATTTTTTTCCTCGACCGCACTAAATCATCGTGATATTTGAAAACCTGAAACAAACCAAAACAACCGTTACTGAACAAAATAGCTGTCAAAATATAGGATGTGTGCAGCAGAAGCTGCCAATTCTAAATTTCCAGTTTACTGTAATTACTAACGTCTTTTAGCAGATGTTGCAAGGTAATATAGAAGGATGCTTGTATTTCTGTTAAAAGCTCCACTGTATTCTTTGTTACAAGCCATGCATTTGCGAACATTGAACCTGGTGCGGTGAGCCCATTTGTCTGCAATTGATACATTTTCCAGTCAATTTTTTTTCCTGAATTTGTTTAAAGGCTTTCCTTACTTCTTACTTAAAAAAATCAATAAAAATTAACTTAAGCAACATATGTCTGTGATGTCATAGCACCATTAACTTTTAAAAACAATAAGGGAGGAATTTCTCAGATTTACTACAAGAAAAAAAGGAGAAATAATACCTTAGCAATACATTTATTCAAAAATTTGTTCCACTCCTCTTCATATGCTGCTCTTTCTTTTATAAATTGTGCTAATTCTTGTACAGATTCTTCCTCATGTTTTAGATTCTCGTACAAAACATGATACCCATGATGTCTTTCACCCTGACAAATGGTTCCAATCAAATAATTTAACTCAATACCAAGTTTTGACAGAAAATGATTAAATCCTCAAAATATCCAACAATAATCCAACTTAACCAACCAAACCACCTAAATTTCAACTATCCTGATACCGTTACCACAAAAGATTATTTTTCATAACACCTATCACTTTTACGATTAAAATAAAGTACTTTCCCAAACTTGTTTGCAAAAATGATTTCGAATAATAAAAACAATATCCTACTGGTTAAAAGAAAGTTTAAAGATATTAAAGGCTTACCCAGAAATGTTCTGTATAATCAACTGCTGTTGCAACCATATCAATACCTAGTTATTCAACAAAATAGCAGAGAATGAAACATTTTTTCCGACTTACACAAATACTCGTCAGTACTTTCAACATTTGATGGAAGCCTCGCTCTTTTTGAACTTAAAGTTTTACTCATTTGCACAGATAATTGAAATACAATAACCTATGCTACAGTTTTGCCTAAATCCTTGGAAGGTTCGGTAAGAAGATTAAAATGGAAGTGTTAGGGATATAATAATGGATCGTGTAAGAATGTCACCACTTATACCAGTGGCAAAAGAATATACTGTAGGGTAGTTGATACAAAATATAAACAATGATACAAAAGCGCACATACATTCAATCTGCATCGTATCTTTCCAAAGTCTATGAGACAATAATCTAGACCGCGGAAACACTTTAACGTTTCCAACTAAACTACTTTAAAACGACAAGAAATTGTTTCTTGGTATTTCAATAGCGATAATGCTAATATCATATTTATAAGTCTAGTTGTATCCAAAAACTTTTTAGAATGTGTTTTCACCTGAATACATATACTTCATTACACATAGTTACTCACCCCAATTGCTAAAATCGGTATAAGGAATAGCAAAAGCATTCAGATTAGCAACTAAACCATCAACTATATCAGTTAGAAAGAAGTGCCATGAGATCTTTTACCATCTTTTAGTACCAATCTCTTCTAGTACCCAACCTTCATCATTCTTAACATCACGAGCCTTGCCAATTCTTCCCATCTATGCAAGTTATTAATTAATATGATGGAGAAACCCATTGCATTAGTTTAGAACAGAGAGAAAGAAAAATAGTATCCTATATAAGTTTGCAACTTTTGATTCTATGACATTATTATTTGATAATTAAACAAAATCATATGCCAAGCAGTCAACTCATTGGTCCCATGTGACATGTCAATACGTATCAAAATTACTTTCAGCATGGGTCACTTTTATTTCAATGAACTGCGAAAAATTGGGAACACATCATCGCTGGTAGCACAAAATGAATGAAGGACTATCTCTTTCAAAAATTAACGAAACAGAAACAGAAGCAAAAAAGAAGCATTATGCTTGTAAAGAGCAGAAATGTATCATTAATGAAAGATGTTATCAGAGAGAACTGGAATAAATGGAGACGATTTTTTGCTCTCTTTCTTCCTTCTCCTCCTTCCTTTTCTCCATTATACAATGTCACATATCAAAATCACAAAACGAAAAATATGCTAGAATCCTATGATCATCCTATAATAGCTCCTTATCATTTACGTACGTTCTTATAGTAATAAATAACGTGAAGTTAAATGCAGAATAAAATAACCAATGCTAAGCATTTGGATTATTTACAGGCTGTGCATTTCCTCATTTTAGTACCTTCAAACTTTATCGATTGATCTTTGTAAAACATACAAATCAGTGAGCTCTAAGAAGATACATTCTTCATGATCGACACCTGACTCATTACGGATTGCAGAAATCAACAATACGACTAGTCGTCGCGGAAATTAATAAAAGCGTCTGGACCAACCGTAAAATCTGCGAAAGCCGGCCGGCGAATGAGAGAAGTGAAGAGGGATTGTGAAGGACGTTTCAGAGTCCTGTAGAGTCGGGAGTGGCGCTGAAGTGACGTATTAGTGTGACATGTTGATGCGTGATATAAGTTATGCAACTTGCAGCACGACTGTGAAGGAAATGTTTATAGTTAATCGAAGAAAGTGTACTGGAACTCATCTCGAGTAGTACTGCAGGGAGAAAGTCCCTTATAACTTCTGTATCTCGTCCACTCCATAAAATCTTCATAAGTTTTTATCATGCCTTGAATATTTTTTATTATCCATTAATTTCCAAAATCTTTATTATGTGAAGAAAAGATGAACCACTCGGGAATTTAAGCTTGCCAAGTATTGTAACTAATCGATTGGAACTGTCGCGGATTTTAATATCGCGATCTAAAAATATGAGTTGCAAATTGTAGTAAAGATATCTACGTAATTTCCGCAAATAATGCTTATACTTCGGACTCTTTGTTTCCAAATTTATGCTTCTACATATTGAAACAATTTACATCGTTCTTTGTTAGCAATCCTTACAATCATGAGGATATCTACATTGTTCTTTGTTAGCTATCATAATCATGCGGTTATCTAATAAGCTCTTTATTAGCAACTGGTGCCCATGCAAGCACCTCCTCTCCTTTGTTTGGATTATTGTCTAACATCAATGTAGATTTTATAACCATACTATTGTCAATTAAATCGGTTTTATTCAATTGTTGCCCAAATATTTAGCTGGCATCCAACACATCTCCCTGACATCAAACTTCTCCCCCGAATAACAATTTAACCAAATCATAAAGGTTTGTTTCCAAAAACATTTTTTTGCTTCCACTACAATTTTTGGTGCCACGAGCCGGGACATGTCCGACAGTATAAGAAAAGGAAGCGAATTATCGAAGTCGAGAACTCTAGAACTTCTTAAAGAAGCAAGTGAACTCGATCTGACCTCCCCGTCTCAAACACTATCACGAGGGGAACTTCAGCATCAATACGAAATTAAATTGCGAATCGTCAAGGAGAAGATCGCACATCTCGAATATTATGCTGGGTTACTCGAAACAGCTAATCAAAATTGGCTGGATAATATTCAGAGCTTGACAATAGCAACGAGGAGAAAGGAAGAGGAGACGAAATACGCCAATATGGTTGACGATCCACAAGGTATTTTAAGTTTAATCACTAGAACAAGAGAAACTATTATTACCCTTAAAATACATACTGATGAATATTGCTCGGTACTACAACATTTAAAACAAGAAGAGGTCAAAGAATCATTTCCAAAGAATAGTATGATTCACACAAATCAAGCAGAAATAAAACTTCCTCAATTACCACTAATAACGTTTAGTGGGGATCCAAAATTGTGGAGGCAATTTTGGTGTAGTTTCAAGGCAGCAGTCCATGAGCAAAGCATCCCAGATATTCAAAAGTTAAACTATCTGATATCATGTCTTAAAGGAGATGCTTTGTTATCTGTAAGAGGTTATGATATAGCGCCAGAAAACTACGATGTTATAATAGGTTTACTAAAAGAGAAATATGGTAAACCTTTCCTTATAAAGAAATCACTCTACAACGAGTTGAATACCATCAAAAAAATGACCGAGAGTGGAAAGCAACCATAGAAGCCATGGAGAGAACATTTCGACAACTGGAAGCTATAGGTGAAAATTTAGAGCATTCAAGCATCGAAATTACAATTGAAAATAAACTACCAGCGTGGATAATTGATAAATTATACCAATTGAAAGAGGATTCGACGAGTTGGTCAGTTAAGGATATCCGGCAGTACCTGACAAAACTAGTTCTAAGAAATGAAGAAGTTGCTAGAAGTCAAGCAGACACAAGGGAGAAGAAAACAAACAAAAATAATGTTAGAGGCGAAACGTCAGCTTTCGCCACAATCAACCAAACAAAGGGAGATAATACAATCAAATCAAAAAGGTTCCAGGAAAAATTTCTATAAATGGGAAAAGGAAACCATGCGTATTTTGCAATAAGGACCACTGGAACAATGAATGTAACATCTATCCCACTCTCAAACTCCGGATGGAACGTTTGAGAGAAATCACTGCATGTTTCAAATGTTTACGAAAAGGACATGCAACAAGTGATTGTAAAAAGGGAAACCTTTGTGTTTCCATTGTAAAAGTCCACACAATACAGCACTGTGTCCCAACAACTACAAGGAACTCACGCAAGCAGTGGATTCCAACAAAGAAAGGTTGGGTTCAGTCACAATCGCTAACTCCATTACCGAAAAAGGAAATCAATGGAAAAAGCGAACCTTACTGTTATGTAAGGAAATAAATGTAACCAATCCAAATCGCCCAAAAATCCAACAAAAGGCTTTAATTCTATTCGATATTGGTTCTCAATTATCGTTCATATCAAAGGATTTGGCTTATCGATTGAATCTACAAGAAACTAACGAGATGGAAATAAAAATTGCTTCATTTGGTGATAAGACGCCAAAAACGTGTATCACTACTAAAACTGAAATCGGAGTAAAAATTGGAAATAAAGAAATAATCCGATTAGATGTAATAACAGTTAACCACTTGACGAATGAATTGCAAGTAGTTAATCTAAACAAAAAGGAATTGTTGATGATAGACAAACGAAATCAGTTTAGTAATTTCAAAAACAAATGGAAACAACCGGACATACTCATAGGTGCGGATCACTTCTTCAAGTTTATCCAGTTTGACCAAGCAGAGAACTTAAAATCAGGATTTTCATTGATCCATACAAAGGTTGGACCTATAATAGCTGGAAGTGGGTATATAAATGAAATACACGACAGTATTTCAGAAACCACATCAGTAAGTCCGATTTCTCAAGTCAATGCCGTCAATATTCCAGACTTAGATCACTTTTGGAAACTGGAATTAATGGGTATACAAGACAAAATAAACTCTGACAATGATGAAAAAGCATTGCAGCAATTTAAACAAACTATCACTAGGGACAAGGGAAGATATCAAGTTTGTTGGCCTTGGAAAGATTCAAAGAACAAACTAAGCGATAATTTCGGACTTTGCCTTGGAAGATTAAAGTCGTTAATTAGGAGGCTTCAAATGAAACCTCAATTACTAAGTCGATACAATCAAACTATTGAAGAACAACTCAATTCCAATATAATTGAGAAAGTGTCATCGGAAATGAATGAAGTTGGTATTATTCATTATCTGCCTCATCACGAAGTAATAACACCAAATAAAACCACGACAAATCTGAGGATAGTTTATGATGCATCAGCTCATTGTAAAGGAATGAAAAGTTTAAATGATGTTTTATATCGGGGACCAATAACACTCCCTGATTTGGTTGGAGTTTTGCTACGTTTCCGTACAATGAAAAATGTAATAATAGCAGACGTAGAAAAGGCGTTCTTGCAAATAGAATTGCATCCAACAGATAGAAACTGCACTCGATTTCTTTGGTTGAAAGA